TGCTGCTTCAATTTCATTTTGTGTTATAGATCTATTCAGGTGATTAATATCCTCTTGGTTCAATTTTGGATGATCATATGTATCTAGAAATCTGTCTGTTTCTTTAAGATTTTCAAATTTATTTGAATATAGTTTCTTGAAGTAGTCTCTGATGTTTTCCTGGACTTCCATGGTGTTTGTTGTTATCTCCCCTTTTGCATTCCTGAGTCTACTCATTGGTGTTTTTTCTCTCCTCATTTTAGCCAGGTTTGCCATGGGTCTGTCGATCTTGTTTATTTTTTCAAAGAACCAACTTTTTGTTTCATTAACTCTCTGTATGGTTTTTTTGGTTTCTATTTCGTTGATTTCAGCTCTTATTTTTATTATTTCACTTCCTTTTCCCCTGTATCCTTGCTAGTATTTGTTATTTTTGTTTTCTTGAATAAAGCCATCTGACTGGAGTGAAGTTGAATCTCAGTGTTGTGTTCAGTTTAATTTCCTTTATGGCTAAGGATGTTGCACATTTCTTCATGTATTTATTGACTATTTGTATTTCTTAGAACTGTTTTATTCATTTGTCCTTTTATTAACTGGGTTGTTCCTGTGGTGTTTAATTTTCTGAGTGGTTTATATATTTTGGATATTAACCCTTTGTCAGATGAATAGTTTGCAAAGATTTTTCTCCCATGTTGTTTGTTGTCTCATCACCCTGATAATTATTTCCTTTGATGTGCAGAAACTTTTTAATTTGATACAATCCCATTTCCTAAACTATGAAAGTTCTATTCAGGAAGTAGTTTCCTATGCCCATATCTTGATGTGGTTTCCCCGTTTTTCCTCTCTAGTAATTAGTTTCAAAGTTTGAGGTCTTATATTAAGGTATTGTTCCATTTTGAATTAATTTTTTGTACAGGGTGAGATGGGTATAATTCCCATCTTCTACGTGTGGATATAGAGTTTTCCCAGCACCATTTGTTGAAACAGCTGTCTTTGTTCCATGGTATGTTTTTTGGCATCTTTGTCAAGAATCAGATTGTTGTAGTTGTGTGAGCTTGTTTCTCAGTCTGTTGGTCTATGTGTTTGTCAGTACCATGCTGTTTTTTTTACTATTTTGTAGTAATTTGTGGCTAGATGTTACGATACTTTGAACATTGTTCTTGTACCTCAAAATTGCTGTGACTACTTGGGATTTTTAGTGCTTCCATACAGATATTTGGAGTTTTTCTGTTTCTATGAAGACTGTCATTGAGATTTTGATGGGTATTGCATTGACTCTTTAGATTATTTTTGGTAGTATAGCCATTTTCACAATATCCTGTGGATCCATGAACATGGGAGGTTTTTCCATCTTATAATGTCTTCCTAAATTTCTTTCTTTCATTAGTGTTTTATAGTTTGAATTGTAGTGGTCTTTCACCTCCTTGTTTAGTTATATTTCTAAATAGTTTCTTTTTTTGAAGTTATTATAATTGGGATTTTCCTGATTTTGTTCTCAAAAAGTTCATTGATGATGTATAGAAAAACTACTGATTTTAGTATGTTGATTTTTTTTATCCTACTAATATAATTAAAGTGTTTATCAGGTCTAAAAGTTTTTTTGGTGGAGTCTTTGTGTTCTTTTTTTAATATATGGTCCTATCTTCAAATAGGGGTAATTTGACTTCTTCCATCCCTATCTGTATACCTTTTATTTCTTTCTCTTGCCTTATTGCTCTGGCTAAGATTTCAAGCACTATTCTGAATGAATGTGGAGACCCTTGTCTTGTTCCTGAATTTAGGGGAAATGCTTTCAGTTTTTCCTCACTTAGAGCAGTGTTGGCTATAGGTTTACCATATATATAGCTTTTATTATTTTCCTTCTATTCCTACTTTCTTCCAGGCTTTTATCATGATGGGGTGTTGTTAAAGGCTTTTTCTGCATTGGTTGATATGACCATTTGGTTTTTGTTCTTGATTCTATTTGTGTGCTGTATTACTTTTATTGAATTGTATATGTTGAAATAGCCTTGCATCCCTTGAATGAAACCTAGTTGATTGTGGTATGATTTTTAAATGTGTTTTAAAGTTTGATTTGCAGTTATTAAGAGTTTTTGCTTCTATAGTTAACAAGGAAATTTGTATGTAGTTGTCTTTTTTTTGTTGTGTCCTTATCTGACTTTGTATAAGGGTAATACTGACTTTGGCTTGATAGAATGTGTTTAATTGTGTTCCTTTCCCGTCTGAATTGTGGAATAGTTTCATGAGCATTGGTGTGTTGAGGAGCATTCTTTAAAGGTCTGTTTGAATTCAGCAGAGAATTCATCTCCTTCTGGGCTTTTCTTTATTGGGAGACTCGTTATTTTACTGCTTTCATCTCATTGCTTGTTATAGATCCATTAGTTATTTACATCCTCTTGGTTCAATTTAGATAGATCATATATATTTAGAAATTTATCCATTTCTTCTAGATTTTCTAATTCATTGGAATTTATTTTTCACAGTGTTTCCTAATAATCCTTTGAATTTCATTGATACCTGTTGAAATCCCTCCCTCTTCACATCTAATTTTAATTTGGGTCTTCTGCTTTTGGTTTGGCTAAGGGTTTATCAATCTAAGAACCAGCTTTTTCTTTCACTTGACTTTTTGTATTGTTCTTTAGTCTCTATTTCATGTCTCTGTTTCTCCCTGATGTTTTATTATTTCTTTCCACCTACTAGTTTTTGGGGTTTCCTTGTTCTTGTTTTTGTAAGAGTTCGAAGTGCGTCATTATATTATTTATTTAAGATCGCTCTGGTTTTTAGTGTAGGTACTCATGGCTATAAACTTTTCTCTTAGAATTGTCTTAGCTGTAATCCATAGTTTCTGGTATATTATGTTTTCATTTTCATTTAATTCCAGGAATTTAAAAATATCCTCCCTAACTTCTTCAGTGACCCAGTGGTCATTCAAAAGCATGTTGTTCAGTCTTCACATGTTTGTGTAATTTTGTCATTAATGCTCTGTTAGATCTCATACCTACAACACAAAAAAACATTTCAATATTCTTGTCTTTAAGACTTGCTTTATGGCCTAGAATGTGATCTTCTTTAGAGGAAATTTAAAGGCTGCTGAGAAGAATGTGTATTTTGTGCATGTCTTTGTCCATTAGTACAGTTTAACTCTGAAGTTTTTTTTTTTAACCCTCCTAGTCTAGCTATTGATGAGAGTGCGGTATTAAAGTCAGTATTATTGTATCTGAAAATTATTTGTCCCCTCATGTTTACCAGTCTTTGTCTTATGAAGTTTGGGTGCATCAATATTTTGTGTGTGTAAATTTACAGTTGTTCCATCTTCTTGATGGATTGTTGCCTTTACTGCTATATAGTAACCTTCTTTTTCTTTTCTGTTTTTGGCTTGAAGTGTATTTTATCTGATACGAGTGTAGGCTACTCCTTTCTTCTTCTCCCTGTTTGATAATATTGTTTTCTGTCCTTTCACTTTCAGCCTGTCTGTGTGTGTGTGCCTTTACCAGCTCCAACAACAAATAGTTGGAGCTTGTTTTTTAATCCAGTCAGCCAATCTGCATAATTTAATGGGAGAGTTATGTCCATTAAGGGTTATTATTGAGAGGTATTTTCTGGTTCCTGCAATTTTGTTAGTTTTTTTTCTCTTGGTTGATTCTATTGTTTGTTCTTCTTTTTTGCCCGTATTTATTGTTGGAGGTTTTTGGTTTATTGAGATAGACATGACTGATTCTTTTCTAATTCTCACGTGTTCATATATTTCTTTGTGGAGATTGTTCTTTCCTGAACTTACGTGTTTGTGACTTTCTTTCTCCTCTGTAGTACAGTTTGAAGTCCAGTATTGTGATACCTCCAGTGTTGCTCTTTTTGCTATTTAGGATCTTTTATGTTCCCATATATGAATTGTACGATGAATTTTTCTATTTCTGTGAATAATGACATTGGGATTTTGATGAGTATTGCATTGAATCTATAGATTGCTTTCAGTAGCATAGCCATTTTCATGCTATTAATCCTGCCAGTCCATCAACATGGGAAGTCCATCTTACTGTGTCTCCTTCACTTTCTTTCTTCAAGATTGTATAACTTTCATTGTATAGATCTAGGTTGATTCCTAGGTGTTTTTGAGTTTATTGTGAATGGAATTGTTTCCCCAATTTCTTTCTCATCCTTTTCATTGTTGGTATATAGAAAAATTACTATGTTAACCTTAAATCCTGTTACATTGTTGAAAGTGTTTATCAGATGGAGGAGAGTTTTGATGGAGTTTTAGGGCTTTTGAATATAGAATCATATCATCTGGAAATAAGGATAATTTGACTAATTTCTTCCTATTTGAATCTCTTTTATTTCTTTCTCTTGCCTTACTGGTATGGCTAGGAATTTCCATAATATATTGAATAAGAGTCAGGAGGGTGGATATCCTGTCTCATTTCTAACCTTAGAGGAAATGTTTTCCTCTTTTATTGAGGTTTTTTTTTTTTTTTGGTGGTACTGGGGTTTGAATTCTGGGCTTCATGCTTGCTAGGCAGGTGTTCTAACACTTGAGACACTTCCCATCCCTTGTTATTTTGGGTATTTTTGACATAGAGTCTCTCAAATTCTTTGCCTGAGGCTAGCTTTGAACTGTGATCCTCCTTATCGCTACCTCCTGTGTGCCTAGGATTATAGGTGTGAGCTACCAGTGCCCAGTGTTATTAACACATTTTGCATCTATGTTCATCATGGAAATTGGTTTGTAATCCCTCCTTTCTTCCAGTTCCTTCACTTCCCTTTCCTTCCCTTCCCTCTCCCACTCCCTCAATCCCTCCCTCTCTTCCCTTCTTTGGATTTTGAAATTAGGGTAATACTGGCTTCAGATAATTAGTTTGGAAGTGTTCCTTTCTATTTTATGGAATAGTTTGAGGAACATTTTTGTGTTAATTCTTCTTTAAGGGTCTGGTAGAATTAGGCAATGACTCCCTCTTGTCCTGGACTCTTCTTTGCTGGGAGACTTTCAGTACTACTTCAATCTCATTGCTTGTTGCAGATCCATTTAATTTGTTTATATCCTCTTGTTTCAATTTTGCTAGGTCAAATCCATCTAAAAATTTATCAATTTCTTCTAGATTTTCCAGTTTTTAGAATATAAATTTTTGAAGTATCCTCTGGATTTCATTGTATTTGTTGTGATCCTGTTTTTTTAATCTCTGATTTTATTAACGAGTCTTTTCCCTCTTTTTATTCAGCTTTGCTAAGGGTTTATCAGTCTTACTTATCTTTCCAAAGAACCAACATTTTGTTTTATTGATTTTTTTTGTCCTGTTTTACTTTCTGTTTCGTTAATTTCTGCTCTAAACTTTATTATTCTTTCTACCTGCTAATTTGGGGTTTGGCTCCTTGTTTTTCAAAGATTTTGAGGTGCAACATTAGGCTGTTTATTTGAGATCTCCCGTTCTTTTGATATACGCACACATAGATAGAGACTTTCCTGTTAGCACTGCCTTTGCTGCATTCCAGAGGTTCTGGTCAGTTGTGTTTTCCTTTTCATTACATTCTAGGAAATTTTTGATTTTTCTCCCATTATTCTTTGATGACTCACTCGTTGTTCAACAATGAATTGTTCAGTCTCCATGAGTTTAAGTATTTTTTGAAATTTCTATTGTTAATTTCTAGTTTTATTCCATTGTGGTCAGTTAGAATCCAGGGAATTATTTCAGTTTTCTTAAATTCATTGAGACTTGCATTATGGCCTAAATAATGATATATTTTGGAGAAATTTCCAGGGCTGCTGAGAATGTTTATTGTGCAGCTGCTGTATAAAATATTTTGTAGCTGTCTGTTATGTTTATTTGGTCTCTATTTTTTTTTAATTTTGAAGTTTCTGTTAATTTTTTTCCTAAATGACCCATCAGTGAGAGTGGGATATTGAAGTCTCCTACTATTATTATGTTGGTGGTTTGTCTCTGCTTGTAAGTCCAGTAGTGTTTGTTTACTGAAGTTGGGTTATTCAACATCTGGTATAGATGTTTACAGTTGCTATCTCTTCTTTATAGAGGAGATAATAATTAATATGAAGTGATCCTCTTTATCTCTTCTGACTGATGTTAAAGTTTTACTGGACATGAGTATAGCTACTCCTGCCTGTTTTGGGGGATCATTTGCTTAGAAAATCTGTTTTCTGTCTTTTCATCCTAAGCCAACGTTCATCTTGTCATACATATGCTTTTCTTTTAGACAATTGTTCATACCTTATTTCTGCCATTCTGTGTTTTTTGATTGCAGAATCGAGACCATGAACATTCAGTTTAATATTAAAAAGTATGTAGTATTTCCTGTCATTTTGTTGTATTTGCAATATTTGCTTCTTTTCTAATCCTCATTTACTAATCTATTTGGCTTCTCACATTTATTCATTCTTGTTTTTTCCCTTTTTTCATTTATCTTCTTTTTCTGTCTGTAGGATTCTTTTAAGTATGTTCTGCAGTGCTGGTTTAGTGTTCATGAATTCATTATGTTTTTGTTAATACACTGGTATATTTTATTTGTTCATCAATTATGAAAGATAGCTTTGCTGGATGCATTAATCTAGGTTGATAGATCTTTTCTTTCAGGACTTGGAATATGTTTCCATGCCCTCTTAGCTTTTAGAGTTTCTATTGAGAAATCTCTTATTGTGGTAGATTTGCCTTCATATGTGACTTGTTACTTCTCTTTTGTAGCTTTCAGTATTCTTTCTTCATTCTGTAAATTCAGTATTTTAAGTATAATATGTTTAGGGGCATTTCTTTTCTGATGTTGCCTGTTTGGTGGTCTGAAAACCTCCTGTTGCTGGATGACCCTCTTTTTCTCATTGTTGAGGAAGTTTCCTGCTGTTACTTTCTTTAATATGTTTTCTTTGCCTTTAGCTTATACTTCTTGTAATTCTGTACTCATGGTTTTTTGATCTGGTCTTTTGATGGTGTCCCAGAGGTCTTGCATGTTGTGCTTTTTCTATTAGCAAGGCTTTCAACTTGATTACTTGTTTTTTTATTGTTGTTGTTGTTCCTTTATTTTTGGTTTATTCAGCTTCTTATTTTCAGAATTTCAATTTGATTTTTCCCCAGATTTTGATATCTTTATTGAATTCCTCTTTCATATCCTGTATTGTATTCCTTCTTTCATCTATTTATTTGAATTCTCTTTGAACTCATTCAGTTGGTTATCTGTATCTCTGAATTTATTCAGGTCTTATATGTGTCTTTAATGTTGTTGGTCATTCTTATCCTTGTTGTCTTAAGTTCATTTGAAATTTCATCTTCTTTTCTGTCATTCACGTCTATTACTATAGAACTGTTGACTTTTGGAGGAAAAATGTTGCCTTTTTTTTTTTTTTTACTTTTTATATTACTTGTGTTTCTACTTTGGGATTTACATATCTGCCACCAAGTTTTTGGTTGAACGTTTTAATCACCTATAATCTTTCAGTTGAAATAGTCTCAAAGTTCAGGCTGGCCACACTGGGTCCGTAGTCAAGCATTTGCCCACAGATTCAGACAGTAGGCTTGATCCCTAGTACTGCTCAGATCAAGGTAAACTAGCTGGAATCTCTTGTAGAAAGGTTAGTTGTCCACTTCTTGGCTGCTTTCAATATAGATGCTTCCCTTTTTTGCATATGGTAGCTGCTGTTGGCTCCAGGGATCTGTGGGCTAGGCAGGTTCCCATTTTCTGCACACACTTACCCAGTTTGTTTTCTCAGATGCAGCAAGCATCCAAGCCTTAGGGTGACCCCTCTATGCATCAGTGAGTGGGGGGAGCAAACAGAACCCTGAGTTCTATACTGGCTGTCAAAGAACTGAGGGACCTAGTCACTCTTTGTGCTGGTCTTTAATGCTCACAGTCCCTCTCCACCAGTTTACATTCTTGTGGGAGGAGCAGCTGTGGAAGTTTCTTGATTCAGAGGGTTTGAACTCTGGGTTCCCAGTTCCAACTGCAGTTTCCATTGGCGGGTCTTAGTACTTTCAGGTTTGTTTGACAATTCATCTCCCCTTTGTTGGTATCTTCAGTTTGTAATTTTTCTCTGTTGCCTCGGTTTCTCCATATTTTGCTGCTATCTTGCTGCTGCTTTCATGATTCCTAATGTTCTTCCTGTTTTTCTCTTTAGCATATAGTCTCCTGTGTTAACCTGACTTTTCTCATTCACAGAGTCAAATGGTGGAAACTGCTGATCAGCCATCTTGCCTGCTCTTCTTTTCTTATACATTAGATTTAAAAATTGATACAATATACTTTGAAGCTATTTTTATAAGTTGATAATGTTCCCACTTTGTTCATTGCTTGAATTCTAATTTTTCTGTGGGCCTTTTTTTTTCTTATACCAATGCTATAAAACCTATGTTATTTCTCCAGGAGTAATAAGTTGTACATAATTTTTAAGTCTTTCTATATCTACTACTTCCACATTCTGAAGAGAAAAACACGCTTTCTGCATAGCCTCAGACAAGATCAAGACTGGCAGATTTTGGACTGATGGAGTGGCTGAAGTGGTAGAGAACCTGCCCTGAGCAAGTGTGAGGGCTCCTCCCCAGAAAAAGACTGGCAGATATGGTGTCTGATGAGGGCCTACTTTCTAGTTCACAGATGGCTGTCTTCTTGCTGTGTCCTCAAATTTTGGAAGGGCTGAATTTTATTTTTATAAAGTGCCCATTGGTATATTCCTGTAAGAATTCTCTAGTGCCTTGCCTTTTGGACAATTCCTGCTGGTAGGGATTTTCCCTCTTCCCTCCATAAATCCAAAGTTCAATATTTCTGGATTTTCATGTGGATTCTGTTTACTGTTTAGTATTGCCTTCCATGGCCATAGTCAGTGGTGCTTTCCTGAGCTTAAACTTGATGATTTTGTTTCAGGTTAAGGGAAGTACAGGAAAGTGCTAGCTGTCTCTGGTTGAAGTATTTTCTCTTACAAAGCTATAAACACATTAGGAAAACTAGATAAATAGTTAATTTGAAGTTTATGATCTTATGAATAATATTATCATTTCTCTGAAATATTTCTAAAGGTGATACCCACTTGGGTGGCAGCAGTAGAGAAGGCTCATTTAAAGAAACGATAACACTAAAGTGGTGCACACCGAGGACAAATAACATTGGTAGGTGTTTAAAGATAATAGAAAAGAATAAGTCAGAGGTTTTTAAAGCATTAATGTGGGATCAAATGTCTTTTCTACATTTTTGTTTTTCATTGTTTCAGGGGCTCAATAAGAAATTTTTCAAATTGATCTTTCCTTCTGTTTCAGAATTACACTATTGTACTGGAGCATACCGAATTTCACCTGTAGATGTAAATAGCAGACCTTCTTCCTGCCTTACTAATTTTCTATTAAATGGTAACTTTCATCATTTAATTTTTCTAACTGTGATTAGCATAAGTGAAATAATTAGTGAGAATAAGAGATCTGGAAAACTATTTTGTCAGAATAGTCTTAAGTTTTTGCCAGAACTGTTTCAAAAGTAATATATTTGCAAATACCTTTTAACAAATTTGCTAAGGTTTACATCTTACTTTCAGACTGTTTAGCTAAGCAAATTTTATTTACTGTAAGTGTTTTTATTAGGAAAAAATGAAACCTGTCGAGCCTAACTTGGTTTTTTTTGGAAGTTAGAATAATATAAATCATTTATCTTGGTTCACTAAATTTTAAATTACAAAGTATGTACGCACCTATTTCTCTCTGAGCACTTAACCTTTATCATATATGAATATCATGTTTTTAATATTATGCCATATGATTTCTTACCTGTGACCTTAAGCCTATGGTTTCCTTGTGTTAAAAAAATTTTTTTATTAGTATGTATTTTTGAATTCCCATGTTTTAAATTTCATATTTTCAAAGCTTTGTGGTAATTCTTAGGATGACCTATGTTTTAGAGCCATTGTTTTAAAAAATCAGTTTGTTAATTTCAGATTGATTTTTCAGATAAAAAATCAGAATGTTAGTTTCACTGTTAAGCACAATTTGATTATCAGACTATATAAAATTCAGATTTAACATATGGGCATGTGAGAAAGAAAGTAACAGTACTGATGAGGAGGGATGTGGAAATGAATTGAGAATGGAGCCTTCTTCTCATATGTTTTATAGTATTGATAACTTGAGGATTATCTAGTAATTATCTTACTTTTCTTCTTGAATGTCCTGGAGGAAAAATTTATGTGAACTTAAAATTGAATAAAGTATACAACCAAACATACCAAAGATCATTATACTTGTTTTGCAGAACTCTCCAAATTACTGCATAAACTTGGAGTATATGAGAGTAAACTGAGGCTAGAATTCAGATTTTTAAGAATTGAAGTAAAGGTATAGTAAATGAGCAATGTTGGTTGAAGTATGGGGATCAATAAGAAAATAAAAAAAAAAAACCCTAGATGTAAATTTAATGAAATGATAAGAACCTATTTGAATTTCATTACCGATAGTATAATCTTGCTTTTGACAGGTCGCTCTGTTTTATTGGAACAACCACGAAAGTCAGGTTCCAAAGTCATTAGTCATATGCTTAGTAGTCATGGAGGAGAGATATTTTTGCATGTCCTTAGCAGTTCTCGATCCATTCTAGAGGATCCACCTTCAATTAGTGAAGGATGTGGAGGAAGAGTTACAGACTACCGTATTACAGTAAGAAATCTATAAATTTTACATTTTGAGACTGTCGTCAATTAGCAAATAGTTATTTAGTTTATATTATGTGCTAACATTTGAGAAAAAAATGTTTGGAAGAAGTTATTATTATTTCAAGTAGATAAGTTTCCTGCCATATTTTCTCAAAAGAGCTATTTGTCGCTATCTAGTCTTTCATGGTATGTATTCAGTGCATACAACGAAAGTACCTGGATTGTAATGAAACAGTGAAACCATAGAGAAGAAGGAAAATTGATTTGAACTGGCATTTTAGATGGAATTTAAATTCTAATAATTTAAATGGCAAGCGGAAACATTTGAGTATTTGTATTACTGCTACTTTTACATTTATTTTTGTATATTGGGGGATCATTGTATTTTTGTTAGAAATTCTATTCTGATTTTAATTTTCCATTCTCCCTCCCCTTGTGGTATTTAGTGGCTGTCTACTTTATGAGGTGGTTGTGGAAAT